TGATCTCCAATGAAGCGATTAGAAGTTCATTCCTAACACTTTTGAATTATATTTGCGGCTCATGAAAATAATATTTATATTTTAATTTTATGCCTAAGGTTGGTGGGGTTGGAAGTGACAAAAATGCAGACAATGATGTAAATTGTTGGCAAAAACCTGAAGACATGAAATATACAAGGCCTGTTTCAGTTTGTGACGATACAGCCTCAGACTTAGCAGGTGAAATAGTTGCAGGAATGTCTGCTGCATCATTGGTTTTCACAGAAAATGAAGAATATTCTCGATCATTAGTTGATGCAGCAGAGAAATTATTTAATTTAGCGACTCGCCAAGATCCTTCTCATAAGCCAGGACTTTATACTGCAAATGGTAACTGTGGAGTTCAAGCACAAGATTTTTATAACTCGTCAAGTTATAAGGATGAATTGGTTTGGGGAGGCATCTGGTTGTTCTTTGCCACAGGAAACAGTACTTATCTTAAATATGCTACGGATAATTTTTATTCAGCAGAGGACGAAGAATTGTTCAAGGATAAAGGGATTTTTTATTGGAATAACAAACAGACTGCTAACTCGGTAAATTTTCTTACATTTATGGCATGTTTAGTACATTGAACTAGGACAACAGATTGATATATAATCTGTCTTCAAATGATCCTGTTCAATTCTGTCCTTTCTCACGGCAAAGTATTGTGCATCTTGAAATTGATTATTTTGCAGATTCTGCTTACAAGAATCAGATTTTTCATTGACCCTGGTTATCCATATGAAGAAGCATTGTCAACAAACCGGACTGATTTGACAATGTGTTCATATCTTTCTAATAAACAGTTCAGCATGACTGAAGGTGATTAAGATGCTTTAGTTTTTTCCCCCCCGTTAATTTCTTGTATTAGTGTTGTTATTCAGTTAATATTCTAAACCTCTTTATTTATTTATTATTATTATTTTTTTTAGGAGGATTGATTTTGCAAAAACCAGATAGTGCGTCACTCCAGTATGCTGCAACTGCATCTTTCCTTAGTAAATTGTATAGTGACTATCTTGAACTTCTAAGACGAAATAGAGGCACTTGCAACACTGCTGATTTTAGCCTTGAAATGCTGAGAGGTTTCTCCATGTCACAGGTACACACTTAGAAATCATATAAGGCTCCTTTAGATTGGTAATTTTCCTGTACTAGGACAGAGACGCAAATTTAAGAACAAATAATCAGATTTTGAACAAGATAATTGAACTTGACCGAACAAAGAGTTATATTTTTCTCCCATATGTCCGTAACATGAATTTAGCAAAAATGAGGACGCTAAGATGAATTTGTACCTACATTAAAATAGATAAGATAAAGAACGAGAATATAAGCCAATAGATGAGGGTGGCATCAATTGATGACAAATTAAGGGAATGAATATTTACGTGGTTGGGACATGTTTTGCATAGATCTAAAGAGGCTCACATTGATGAGAGTGATGTGATCTTAATAGAACATGACATATAAGGTATAGATAAATAAAAAATAACATAGTTTGTAGTAGTTGGTAAGGATCTTGTGACTTCAGATCTTCATATAGATATAAAGTTAAATCGAACATAGTCAGAAGCGCATGCCCACTCGGAGTTGCCCTCACTAGGTTTTGGAAATTCTTATACTGCCAAGCCTACTAAAACTTGATGATCGTCCAGTAACTTATTTTTGGCCCATTATTCAACCGAGTCATGATTTTGGTATGTTCTTTTGTTTGACATTTGATTTTTGTGTACGTTGCTATATGTCCATCAAAAAATTGATAATATAGTCACGATAGAGCGTTTTCGTTATATGATAGTTTGAAGGGAAAACTGATATAAGTTACATTTTTACTATTAAGTTATCTTTTGGAGAAGGAAAAAAAAAAAAAAAAAAAACCTTAGGTTCATTGTTCCGGCCCAAAATACGAGCAATGCCATCGCCTAGCAGAAGTATTTACCGGTTCTCCAGGAAAATATGTTGGTACCCCAATGGGTTCTGAGTTTATTTCTTAACCTTCCGGCACTGGGCAAACGTTAGCCTAAATTCCAAGGAATCCAAAAAAATGGAAAAATTGGATCTTTTTTCGAGAACGGCCTAAAGTTCCATTTCCCTTTTACTCCTAGATTCCCAAAATGCTTTTTTTGAATATTTCTCAATGTCCCAGCTATTCACGGAACGTGAGATCCATGGAATCTTTAGAATTCCCATCACTTAGGCAATGAACAGGTCAAGCAAGCTCGAATTGACATAACATGAAACCTATTAGTCCGAAAACGCCGTAACAGGAGGATTCACTGCAAATACTAGCTTGACTCTATAAATATCGTTATTTTTCTCAATCTCATCAAAGCACCATACCATCCAATGTAAAGACGATTTTTGGGGACCTAATCCTTACTCCACCCCTGAACATAGTGATTAAAAATGATTCATATAGAAGATCCAAAATCTGTTAGAAAAGGCTTAGGTTGCTGTCATATTACTACCATACAAACAAAGAAGACAAGCAACATAGTTACAATGCTCTATCAGATGCAAGTGATTCACCATATCCCTGGAAGATTTATTTATTTATTTTTTTCCCCTTCACGTCCTTCTACTTAAGTTCAGGTTGATTACATACTTGGCAATAACCCATTGAAGATGAGCTACATGGTAGCGTACGGCGATCATTACCCGAATCAAGTTCACCACAGGGCTGCATCAATCCCAGTTGGTAAATGGCACTCCTGTGCAGAAGGGAATCAGTTTCTGAAATCAAAAGAGAAAAATCCAAATGTGCTTGTCGGAGCCATGGTAGGAGGACCTGACAAAAAGGATATATTCTTGGATGAAAGAGACAAGCCCAAGTTTACAGAACCTAGTATCTCAAGCAATGCTGGTTTAGTTGCTGCACTTGTTGCACTTCATAATTCTCCCAGTGAATCTTCTGATATTTATGATAATTTGGGCATAGACAAATTGGGCATTTTTCAGAATGTGCATTTAATTTGAGAATTTCTTTAGCAGTACAAGAAAGAAGATGGGAAACAAATGACATTTGAATCTTGTTTTTGCTCAGTGCTGTACTCAAGTGTGAGAATTAACTGTTTTTCTAAGCTAATGTCTTTCATGAACTTCTTTATTGATCCTAAAAAATAATTAACGAGAAGCATGTTGAAGGAATCTGTTTAAAACTAGATATAACAAATATTTGTTGTCGCTACAGAGAATCCAAACGTAACACGAGTTGTCACCCCTGTCCTACCCACCTGGGCCAGTGGCCCACTCATCCTGATCCACGTGGCATTCCTGTCGAGGTGGCCCATATT